GCTGAGGCATACAGCATCTTTACCCAGTGGGTAATGATTAACATCCCTCCTTACCGCATAATGAATAGCAGGCATGAGAAGGCATAATTCCTAATAATTCCTAAACACCATTGCTCCACCTTTTATCACTTCATGGAAATGCACTAAGAAATCCCTGAAAAAAAATTGGCAAAATTCCAGATCCAGACTTACCACTAGTTTTTAAGGGATACTTGAAATGAAGAGCACATGTAGACTTGAAGTTTTGAATCTCTACCTTCTTTACAGAGTAGTATAAGAAGTAAACAAATGTAGAATTAATTCTCCACTCATTATCTTCTTTCTACTTTCTCTAAATTCAATTTCCAGTGATGAGTACTGAGATATTTTTAGTTACACAAGAATTTGTATAAGATACAGGTTGAAAAATGCCTGCTGTACTTCTTCTGATCTCAGATGGTCCTCATCTGTTTGCTAGGAAATTTGTTCTGTATTTTTCTTGTTTTCTTCCCAGACCTCCTCTGTGCCTTTCTGACCCATTCCGTAATGCCCTGGTTCTAGCATCTGACTTTTTAAAGCACTTTTATATTATTGTAGTCTCCTTTACTGCAAGCATAAGGGAAAAAACAGCCTTCAGCTTTCTCCTATTATATTCCCTCAGCAGTAGAAAATGAGATCTTGCATCATTCTGTTACACTTAAGACATTTTTATTAGAGTGACATTAGCAGAAAGAAAAAGAAAAGTGTCATAAATGTAACTTCATAACATAAAAAATAATTGTATGTGTTATCAAACACCAGAGTTCACACCCATTCAGCCAACATCTTGAAATGGAGAATAAACAGAAATTTGGTAGGACAAGAAAGGAAAAGGGAGAAAAACATTACCTACTTTTATGTTCCTTTTAACTTATTTTCCTTGATAAACATTGGGTAATTTCACATTTACAACAGTTTTGAATAGTAACACAGTGTCCAGAAATAATCAGGCAATGGCAAAAGTTATCCTTTCTTATAGTTTTATAATCTCTAAGTAAATATTTAAGATACTTATGGCTTGCTTGTGATTATAACACAAACAACTGGATCAGATCATAAACAGACATTTCCCACAGAACAATGTCATAGAGGTACTGTGTGACTGCCAATAGTCTCAGTAACGAGAGTCCTGATGCTGTTTCTTTTGAAACAGGCATGAGAAAAATAATGAAGTAAAATATCCATTCTCTATGTTCTTCCCCAGATCAGATAGTGGAGTACCCTTAGGATAACTGGTCTGACCTTTAAAGACAGACATGAAGGTATTCAGAACCTTTGCCTTTCCTTCATCCTCAGTGATCACATTCCCAGCTTCATCTAATAAAGAATGGTAGTAGTAGTGCCAAGATGTGAAGCCTTACTTATTTCCTTTTTCATATAAATCAAAGTACCTAATCCATCTTATTTCCAATGTTTAAATATACATACACTTTTTTAGTGTTATCTTTTTAATACAGGTCAAAGCATACCTAGTAAGTTACAACTGGTTTATATCAGATACACAAAAAAAGATATTTACAGAACTGTTTTTTGCGAAGTTTTAATTTCCATTAATAATGCAAGCAATTGAGCTAGCCAGAATAAACTACATGTCTGTCTTTTAGGCAGGTTGTGTTGAGATAACCAAGCCAATTCTAAATATTTGGCACTTTAACATCTTATATATGTTATTTAGGGAATGAACATGTTTTTCTGAAGAACAAATTAAGACGTGATGCGTCTATTTTCAAACGTAGAAGTCTAAGAGAAGAATTTTGTTGTATGTGTTTGAGATACCTCATTCACAGACGAGTATTGTGAGAATGTAAATATTCAGATGATTTATTATCATTTCCCTGAAACAGGGAAACAAATGGAATGTTATCTCCATCCCGTGCCTTAAGGAGCAAGCTCATACAATGATACATAGAAGCTTTATTAAAAATTCATTAGACTGTGAAGTCTCTCATTTTGTAATCAGAATTAAGTAGTTTTCTAATGTCATTATCTGAAAGTCAATTTAAACTAGTATCAGCAGTTGCAACACAATCTGAAATGCTAAATTAAATAAAACAAATGCTTTCCACTTATTTTTTATTGGAAATATTAACATTTTATATTATGAGTCAAAACCACAACAAATAAATTTCCCATGAATTTATTTACTAGTCATATTTGCATTGGTCACAAAAGCCAAAAGAGTTTCTGAAAAAGATAGTAGCAAGCATGTTTACTTTCTGATGCAGTAGAATACTGAAGTGTTGAAAACTGACAGAGTGTTTAATATTTTTCCTATTAGATAGGGTGATTCACCTTGTTATCTTGATTTTAAGAGCTAAGTGCAATAAGCTACAGCAAAATAATTCCAGGATAAAGAAGAAGTGACTTTAAAAATTAATATTAACCTTTCAATATAAAAGTAATGTATTAATCACAAAAACGTTGATACTGGCAGAAGCTATGGCTCTTCATACAAATTGTTATCTTTGATTTGATTCTGTTCTAAGGCAGAAGCCAGAGCTTGCTAAATAGCTCTTTTATTATGGAAAATGTATCTGTCTAAAAAAATTCTTATACATAAGTCACCTTTTTCAGTAGACTGTAAAGTACAGAGAAACCATAGCTTTATTATATCAGTGCTTTACTTTGAGAAATAATTCTTTTAAATTAAGTTCTTTGATAAGGGTCTAATTTTCTGGGAAGGAGGAAATGGATACTTCTCTTTAAAGAAATTAATCTGTGTTAAGAAGCTCAGGTAAAGTTTAAAGAAATTACTAGCAATTTAAGAAAAAAATGGATGTGCATACATCTCAGTGGTATTAAACAAGCTCACATGTCAGACATAAGTCACACATAATCTCATATGGAGTATGCAGTTCCTCAACTGTGAAAAAAAAAACCAAAAAACACAACCCCTTCTACATATTTAATGTATTAGCATGCTCAATATGTGTAAGAGAATATATCTCTCAGATTCGTAAATAATGGAAATATGCTCCACTCTGTAGCTGAGTTCTGTCCTGACCACGCATATCCAAAAAACTTGATGTTAGATTCTTCTCCATATCATTCATTGACTGTTGTCAGACTCATGAATCGTTAATTTTTCTCCACATTTTCTCTAAAATGGCTTCCTGCAGATATAGTCTTCACTCTGTACTGTTGAGTTGTCCTTCTATCATGATGAAAAGTGTTCTATTTATAAAGTATTCTGTCTTTTATACCTGAAAGATATGACAGTCTTCTAGCAAGTTAATATTGGCTTCTATATACTGTTTCCTTACCTTTCAGAGATGAAAAAATAAAAAAAAGAACTGAGAGCTTTCCTCTAGAGCTAGAAATGGATTGGCTCATTTCAGAGGCAGTTTTTTTTCTTCTTCTTTCAAGTAAACAACGGATATCACGTCTGCTTCCACTTGATTTCAGTTAAAGCGACATTTCTCTTGAACAGCAACGTGTCATAGAGGATTTGGCATCAGATGTAATATTTGAGAACAAATATTTAAGATGTGTGCAATAAAAGAGACCTTTGCATAAAAGGGCTCTTATCTACCCTAGTCATCTGTTGCACTAAAAATCATTTCCAAAAACAACAGTTCTGGAGAGGTTGCATTTAGAGATTAAACCATTCTGCAGTCAATACTTCATGACTGTCATCAGTCAAGTGCCTGGAAAAGGCCTGAAAAAAAATGATCAAACCAAACTGAATTTAAAAACTCAGAAAATAAGCTCTGCTGGCATAAGTTAGAAGTTGAATGGGGAGGTGGGGAATGAGGAAGAGAAAATGGAAGAAAAATAGGAGATTTACTAGAGCATAGTGCTGTTTTGCCACTGACCTATTATTTTTTTGCAACTCACAACACAGCCAAAAACACTGCAGATCCAAGCTTGGCCTGGATCAGCAGTAAAGGGGAAAAATTCACTGCATGTGCTCCATCAGGTGACAGAGCTGCTGTGGTTTGAATGAGTATTGGCTAGGCTAAGGCCTTTCAGGGAAAGCAATTATTTTTCTCCTCCTTAACTAAAAGTTGACTCTGGAAAGCTCTGATTTGAGGCTTAGGAGGTTCTGAACTTCAACGCCAAAATCCTTTACCATGAGCCTATATAACTGTTTACACCAGTATTGAAAAGTCACTTCTAGGATCACAAGTTCAGTTTCAATTTGACAGTACGTTAAATTTATTTCGTGGTGATATAAGTGCTGGTAGCAAATCAGGCTTTGCAATGCTAGAAGTCAGTATTACTGATGTCTTGACAAAACAAACAAATGCTTATCCCATATTGAATTCTGACCTATCTGGAGCTATGAGCTTGTTGGGTCGTTGAGCTAACTGACAGTATTTAGCATTTTATTTAATAATTTATAAATAGGGGATTATAAAATAGAATATTTATTTCCTATGAAGAATGACCAAGGGAACTGAAGCTGTTCAGCCAAGAGAAAAGAAAGAGAACAGAAAGCTCCAGGGAGACCTCACAGTGGCTTTTCAGTACTTCTAGAGGCTTATAAAAAAGATGAAAAGTGACATAGGCAGGCAGTGATAGGAAAAGGGGGAAGAACTTCTAAATAAAAAGGGGAATATTTAGGTCTAATATCAAGGAGAAATTCTTTCCTAAGAGAATGGTGAGCCCCTGGCAGAGTCTACCTAGAGAATCTGTGGATGTCCTGTCTCTGGAGGCATTCAAGTCCAGACTGAGTGGGATCCTGGGCAACCTGATCTGGTGGAGAGCAACTCTGTCCACATCAAGGGATGAGAACTGGATGGGCTTTAAGGTCACTGTGTGCAAATTGTTACAGACTAAAACAGTAATTGAGCACCTGGTAAAGAGGTGTAGCCAGTTCCAGGCACCCAGATGGAAGCAGTTCACTTGTGCAACTGGAAGGAGTGGAGCCTGCCCCTCCCTTTTCCCTGCCCTCCCCAACCTGAATTAAGTTCTTCTGATTTAAGCTACAAAGGAAACCTCTCCACTTGGAAAGTACCTCATTCAGTGTATTTGGTCAACCCTGATCCTAGGAAAGGGGTAAGAAATTTTTTATTTACTGCATTTTGTGCTCTGTTCTTGGTAAATTGAAGACTGTTTTAAAGCAGCTATATCTCCTTTTGCTTTTTTTCTATAGTCCCGTTCAATCCAAGACTTCTTATGATTCTGTAAATATGAAACACAATTGACCGACTGTAATTAAAGGTTAATTATTATGTAGAGAAGCCTAAAATATCCCCAGAAAGTCATATACTTCATGCTGGAAAAAAAAAAGTTGAAAGTAGGTCAAGGAAGAACCTTTACAGTGGTTTCCTATCAGAAGATTATTTGGGTTTGTATGTTTTAAAGAAACAGTACACAACTACAGGCAGTCAAGTGATGTTTTAAACAGAAATATTGGAAACAAAAAAAAAAATTACAATAAGAAAACTGCAAGGAGCTGCAAAGTTGAAAAATAAAGAATTTAAAGATAAGATCCCTTATGAATCAACTAGCATGTGAAGCAGGTCATCCTGAGTTTCATCTCATTACTAACTTAGTCTGATGCAGTGACACATGTTGTGAGGAGCTGAGTACAATTCTGCACTTTCTATAGTAGTGCAGTATTTTGTTTCTGCTCTGCATCCTTGCTATTCTCCTTTTCTTTTCATGCTGATTTCTCAAATAAACATAATACCAGAAAGGATGCACTTTTGACCTCTGACTTCACTAATTGCTCTGTATTAAGACACTGGTTTAAGAGATGAGATATAGAGCTTTAGTGAATATTTAGTCCTACAGTTATTCCAAAGTTATACAGTTATTCCATAATGCATATTGATGAGTTATAGCATACACACTTGAAATACTGCACTTCTGTGCTGAAACTGCTGCCCATGCAGACAAAGCAAACAATCAAAAACAGAAAAAAAACCAAACACTTTCTTATGGTCCTATTGACCAACAATATTCTGCTTTAGAAAATCAATGCATTATGGAAACAGATCATGTCCATGATGTGCAATATAGCTCTGAACACTCCTTTCCTTCAACTCTGATTTAGTAAAGGAGAGTTTAAATCTATTTTCACTACTTTGTTTTTTTTTTACTGGATTACCCCTCCTATTTCCCTTCTAATTTAATGGTGATAATATTTATCTGAATAAATGAAATAAATCATTGCTTTTTTTTTTTTTTTTTTTGGATTTTCAATATTTAAATCATGTTCCTATGTAGCCTTCTAATGCAGAAATTTTTCAGACTTAAAAGCAATAACTTTCTGGACTTTAAAAGCCATATCTTACGGAATTAAGTTATGATAAAAAAAGTCATCTTTCATATAGCTGGTGAACCTTATCTTTTGTAAGACAGATGCACCTCACAGCATATTGAAAGAGTGGCCCAATTTTATTCCTTCTTGACGGAATTATTTAGCCATAACAAAAATGAATTTGTGGTATAAAATTTTGTTCATCTAATTGCTATTAGTGTAGTGAAGTGGTAAATACAAATGCTAATTTCAACATACTTTCAAAGCAAATTTCTATAGTTATGGTATTTAAAATTACAATGCAAGGTACTGTAAAAACTGCTTTATTTATATACAAAAAAATAAAATACAAATGTAATAAATATTGAAGTATAATTCTTATCAAACTACTGCAAAGAATCTGAACCTGTTATAAAAGAATGTTAATACAGGCTTAATGCCTTACTTAAGTCATTGTGGGAAAGTAGGAAAGGAATGCTGATTTAAAAAAAAATAATAATCTGTGGCAGTATGAGACACATGATATGTTGAAAAAATAAGCTATAGTTGTGTTCAATTAAAAATTTATGTTAAAAGTTTCCTTCCCTTCTGGAAGTTTTGCAGTAGAGCTGTTGACAAAAGTATGTAGGAGACATGGTCAACATGAAAGAGCTTTCCTTTGAGAAAAGCTTACCATCTTTTGCTTGCTTTCTGCTTTGAGAGGGTGTTTTCATGTGATTGTCTCTGAGCAGCTGTCTAAGTCAGGTTAAAGATGTTTTTAGGTCTTCTGGCTTTTCCCTTTTTTGAAGTATATTCTTACTGGTCAATCCAAAGGCTTCCTTTATGGGGAAATGTCATAGAATCATGGAGAACATGCTGTATAGGAGGGAATCTTCCTGCACTATTTTTTTTCCCTACATCTTACTTCTCTTTTTCTTTGCTCAATCCTATTAATGTGATAGGTGTCCTCAGCTGCAGCTGATTAAGTATTGTATGAAAGAAAAATTTGTGGGGGAGAAAAAGGAGCTTAAGGTTACTTTTTTGTGGCTGTGTGATTCTGGCAGCATTTAGGCTATGTTGCCTGCTGCTGAGAGAAGAGAATCTTGTATCCAGGAATCAGGCACATAGCAACAGACTAGAGAATGGGAGGTGGGGGTGGGTGAAGGGAGGTGTTATGCATTCTCTATTCCAGAAAAATAGTCAGCAAAGCTCCAAGGATTTCCAGCTGTGCTCTGTCTAAAATAATAGAGTTTGAGCTTAACAAAGCTCTTTTGATTTTGCACATTGATTTACGTGTTTATTTTAGCACAATAAAGTTCACAAAGTCTAGTGTTTGCAAAAAGTGAAAATGAAAAGTTGTGAAAATAGTGACATTGCTCATGAATTTGAATGAGCACTTGCCAGTTGTTTTTCCTTGGTAGAGCACAAATACCTGCACACAGAACCCTATGATCTACTTTAATCCCATTTTGTTTGAGCCATCAATGAATTTATATATATATATAAATATAAATATAGAATATTATATATATATATATTATTATATTTATTATATTAAATATTATTATATTTATAATATTATAAATATATATAAATATTATAAATATATATTATATATATAAATATATAAATATAAATATAGAAATATATATATAGATATATATAATATATAATATATAGAAATATATTTATATAAATATAAATATAGAATTTATATATATATATATAAATATAGAATTTTTTTTAGAATTTTTTTTCTTTTTCCTGGGCAGTAGGGCTGACTTTAGTACTTTTTTCTCCTTGCCAATGATTTCCATCCCTCTGACTTCGCATCAGCTGCGCTATAAGATGATACTTTGAATAACAGAAATTCACCACTCAGTTCTGGAGTATGGATGAGTGGCAGAATACTGGAGTGTTTTTTGTTGGCCTCACTGCTGGGGGTAATAGTACACAACAATGCTTTTTTGCTGTTGTGCTATGAGCAAGTAGATCTTAATACTTCCCAGGTTTTTGAAAGAGACTTGGAAAAATGCAAAGGGAAACGTGTAACTGCTTTGGGTTTGGCCTTTCACCTGTGTGGAAGGTGATCAGGCCTAGTTGTGACAAACAGCTTGAAGAGGAAGGGGAAGAATCCACATGGATAGCAAAGTTCTGAAGTTTGATAGGCTATGGTTTAAATTATTTGTTTCCTAAAAATTCAATTGCTGTGAATATAGTAGACTAATACATCTCTAGTACTCTGTCATTAGTAAAAACGTTATAGGGATGATGACTCCTTAAACAGAAGCAGTATCAGAGGTACGCTGGAACAGACGTGCAAACTGAATTTCCCAAGTCTCATTACAGATTGGTGTTTCAATCAGTTATAGTCAACATTAGCAGAACCTGGCACTCCTTATGTACTGGATAAACTAATAATTTTTAATTTCCTGTGGCATTAATCTGGCAGTTGTCACTAGGGGTAAAACAAAAGCAAAAATGATTTAAGCAAATGTCTTTGAAAAGTACAAGATTTTTCTTCTCTCCCTGTATATATTCCCTGTGACAAGAGCCTTAGCTTATTCCCTTCAACCTTGTCAGTTTTCATCACTGTTAAATCTCTGCAGAAACTACAGGTTTAATCAAAAACAAACAATATCTCAGATGAAAGTGGTTTTTTTTTGTTTTGTTTTTTTGTTTGTTTTGTTTTGTTTTTCCATAGCATGCCTTTGTTTTGAAAGAGTTTGCAAACCTTAGGAAAACATATTGTATAATATCCTTCTTGAATAACACTTCTATACAGTGTTACAAATTAATATTGAGTTCCGGAAGCAAAGTACTCACATTAGTGCAAAATGAGTTCACTGTAATTACCATTATTACCATAAATATCAGAGGAATTAATAATAATTAGGGCGATATTTTAAAGTGTTCTTCATTATCATGTGTTTTTTTTTGTGTGAATTTCCAGGATGATAATAATTAATGTAAAGCTTCCCATTTGGCAAGATTCTCTTCTCAATGGAAGGGCTCAATGTTCTTGAAATGTCGGGTTACTTTGCATGCTTATTGTCATAAAATGGCTTAGGTTGGAAGGGACCTTGAGGATCATAATGTTTGGACTATCTTGCCACCGGCAGGGTTGCCAGCTGCTAGACCAGGGCCCATCAACCTGGCATTAAGCATCTCCAGAGATGGGGCATCCACAACCTCTCTGGGCAGCCTGTTCCAGCATCTCAATATTTTTTCCTTGCAGATCGTTTTCTTTGAGATTGTGTTTTCCACAAATAAATAGATTATGTAGTAGAGTGTCCTTTCAGCTGAAACTCACTGAAATTTGATTTTTCATATGAATAAGGTGCATAACACTACTATGTTTAACCTTCTTCAGGGAACACTTATGAAAAGTATAAAATGCACTGTGGATCTTCAAAATGTTAATTATAAGACATGGTTTGCCTTATAACTGCATGCATCACCTTTAATTTTAGATGTGCATTGTGTAGGAAAAAGAAAGCATCTGAAGGGATCAGGTGGTTTACAGACTTTATTCCTAACTACTCTGCAGCAAACTGCAATGGCATAATGTAAAAAAAAAAATAATAAAAAAAAAACATAAAGCAGATAAGGATAACAAAGATGTATAAATGCAATTTACATCAAGCTGAACATTATTTTTCTTTGGAGAGTGCAAGTCTTTTAAATATTAAAACAATGAAATTTGCAGGGGTGCAGAATAGAATAAGAGGACTGCTGAGAGATTTGAACCCAAACTTCAGTAACTTTGTTTCTGTCTCTGATGCACTGTAATCCCACTGAATGAAGTGGG